TAATCAGTCTGGATGCTTGTTTTTGGAGTAAACTGGTGGTCTATATTGTGAAATTAGAAATTTTCACAATTTTTGTTCAAAAAAATGTCGAATTTCACAATTTCTCAAATCGAGAAACTAAAAAAATTACAATGTTTAAGAAACTACAAAAGTGCACACTTTCTGTATAGAAATTGAGAAACTTCTTGATTTTTAAATATTGTGAAATTTCTAAATTTCAAATGCTACACATTGGAAACTCTCCAAAAAAAAAAGTGCACAAATCATCATCATGGATTGTGGGCCTTATTCAAGATAATATAATACTGAGAACACTATACATTCTGTTGTATGAAAATTTTAGTGTTTGTATTTATTTTGATGGAATATGATCTTCAGGTGGTGATGTCAAATGACATCGTTACAGAAGAAAGAATACAAATTAATAGTCAACTATATATGGTGGTGACTATCAACACCAATTCATAGTTTGTATTTATAGGTGATAGTCAACTATAAATACAAACTATTAATCATCGATGTATCAAATTTATTAGAGAGTTGCTATATATTATTTTTTGTTTTAAACATTTTTTATATCACTGATCAATACATGCATGATAAATATAAAGTAATATATTAGTATTTGCTTTTTCTAATACTTATCTCTAAATAAAAACGATTAGAAATAAAACTACCCAATAGTCACAAACTTAACTTTTTTCCAGGCATTAAAAGTTTCGTTTTACAAGTAGACTACCTACATCCCCTTTGAGGAGTGAATTGGTTGGGTTAATCAATCGAACAGCCTCTGGGTAGTCAAGTGCCACACCCCTTATCCGATCTTCCGGCATTGGCATCTCCCTTTGCATCTGCTCCAATATTTCCATGTAATGAAACATGTTCATCATCCATTCATTCATTATTTATCAATCTAGATATATAGGTTGCCAAAATAGGAGTTTAGTTTAATTCACATGAAAGGTTCATTGAGGAAGATAAGAGTTATTGACAATATAGATCAATTTCAGTTGTCGTGTTTGGTTTCTGCTGTGTGGCACTATATTGGATCTGGAATGGTGGCTGATCCAATTTATTCTATAGACATAAGAATGCTATTGTTTTATTTACAATTTGATAATGGTAGTCATTTAATTTGCTAATGTGACCTTTGCTTTTCATGGACATTTTTCATTATTTGTCCAATTTTAACTGATATTATTTCTCTTTTTCTTTGGTACAGATGGATGAACTCGTGCACAAAGCTAAATTGTACAGGACAAATTGGCACTTTTTGCATTTTGGAAGGATTATATATTTTTGTATAGATGTATGTGGAAAATATTAGGGTAGACTAGTAGTTATATTTTTGGATACACTACTATAGTTATATTTTTGGATGGACGTGTATAGAAAATATTTGGTAGACTACTAGTTATATTTTTGGGTTGATGTACATGGATAAAAATTTAAAACATAATAACAAGTACTTGTTATGTTTTAAATTTTTATGCTAGATGAAATATGTAGTTTCGAATTATTTGTGGATGTAAACTTATAATAGTTGCTGACTTTAATTAAACAGGTTCAGAAATGGTTGATATATGTATTTTGTTGAATGTTGATGATTCAATTTATTTGTTGGTTTGAATGATTTCTTCTTTTTACAGATTATATTGAATAAATTGGATGGATTATTATAAATTACAAGTTTGTTTTGTTGGATGTTGGCGACCAAAATTTGGTTTTGTTTTTATAGTTTTGGCGACCAATTGATTAGTTGGGAAAGATAAGTTATACTTTTGCCAACTAAATAAAGTAGTCGGTGTATCACCAAGCACATTTGGCGACTAAATAATTAGTCGTCAAAATTATTAATTTTGGTAACCAAACCTTTTGGTCGCGAATAGATCTATTGCCGACTAAAGTTTTAGTTGCACAAACATTTTCTTTTGGCGACAAACATGTTTGGTCATGGAATGTGACAATTTGCGACTAATTATTTTGGTCGCAGAATGTCACAATTGGCGACCAAACTAATTTTGGTCGCAGAATGTGACAATTGGCGACCAAACTAATTTTGGTCGCAGAATGTCACAATTGGCGACCAAAATTTTTGGTCGCGAAATGTCACAATTGGCGACCAAAAATTTTGGTCGTTGAATGTGATAATTGGCGACCAAATTTCTTGGTCGTGGAATGTGACAATTGGCGACTAAGATATTTGGTCGGCAAAAGGCGACTTTTCGCGACCAAAATGTTTTTGCGACAAAATGAATTAGTCGCAGTAATGATATATTTAGCAACCAAAAATTTAGTCGGCAAATCCAACTTTTCCCAACCAACCAAAATTTTGGTCGCGAATTACTTTTGCCGACCCTCAATTGGCGACCAAAGTAGCGACCAAAAAAATTGGTCGTTGATAACTTTTGCCGACTAAAAATAGACTTTTAGCGATCAATTTTTTTGTTGCCAAAAGTGTTAATTCTTGTAGTAGATTGTGAACTGATTGTATCCATTGAGAATAATCAACTACGCGATATGCGTCCAAAATTAGTCTAATAGAAATTATTTTCATTCCCACTAATATATGGTATATGTCCATATCGAAAGAGCAAATATTATGTAGACAAAATCAACAAATACCAAATTCTCCTAATATGATGTTCAAGACTTATGCTAAAATACAAAAATTAAAACATAAAAAGTGTAACGATAGATTGAGATTATTCAAAATATGGATCCCTCTGTAACTCGGTTTACTCCCAACCGAGATAGTGGACCAGAAAATTCATCCCAAAAAACACTTAAATAATGAAACTAAAATAATGAAGTAAAACCAACCAGAGTGGTACAATCAACATAAATTGGGAGGATAAGAATTTAGTGCATTATCTTTGTATCTTAGCAATTGGTGAAAAGTATCGTCATGTGGTGTCTCAAGAATATCAAATAATTGATCAAACACCAGATGTAATTTTCAAAAGTTCTTGAAGTTTTGGATTTTATAAAAAAAATAAAAATAAAAATAAAAAAATAATAATTTTAAATTAATATTTAAGCAGCAATTAAAAAAAAATTTGTTGATGGATAAGTCAATTATAACTTTTTTAATTTTTTTTTTAACATTTTTAAAAAATATAACTTTTAAAGAAGATTCCCAACAGTATGCTTTTAGGTGTGATTGATCATGGACTATGATCCTTTGCAATAATTTTACAATGATTTTTATTTATTTTTTTCGGTACATCAAAGAAAAACAAATTTTTTTTTTTTTTTTTTGGGGGGGGGGGGACTCTTATCATCTTGAACACAACCTACTTCTCCTATTATCATCTTCCCTCCGATTGAGTAGAGGATGGCATAGAGCAGATCAGGGATTCGAGTTAAAATTTCTTATCTCAAATCCATTTCAAAAAATCTCAATCAGTGTGTTTGGTTTGAATTTTTTAAATTAAATTTTTTAAAAATTAAATTTTTTGATTTTCGTATTTTTTTATATTTAGTGAATATTTTTAAAATTTTAAATATTTTTTTTTACTTTTTAGATGCACCTTGCTTAGATGTATCTAAAAAGTAAACAAATTGTGAAAAAATATTTTAAAAAATTAATAAATACATAAAAATACAAAAAATGTATTGAATTCTCGTATTTTTTTTGTATTTTGGGTATTTAGTGAATTTTGAAAAGGTTTTCTTCACAAATTTTTTACTTTTTAGATACATCTAAGAGCAACTCCAAGGGAAGAGGTATATTGGTACTGTTAGCTATTTTAGCTCATATCAGCCTAATATTCTCACTCCAACGGGCTGGGTAAATGGCTTCCTATTTTCCCTCGCGGCTTTTTCGCTGGCTTCAATTGGAGAGTGATTGAATGCTCTCCAAACTCGTCTCTCCCGCGAAATCGATCTACTCACGTCTCTCCCGCGAAATCGATCTACTTCTTCAGCGCGAAATCGATCTCCAAACACGTCTCTCCCGCGAAATCGATTTGCTCTTTCAGTGAAATCGATCTTCTCCTTCAACGTTGTCTGCAACTCCCTCCATCGACCTCTTCCTCAAGGTATGGATCCTTCTATCTCTCTGTCTTCCCCTTTCTATGCAACTCATAAACCCTCTCTCTCTCTCTATATATATATATATATATGTATGCATAGCACAAACTTTCCTTGTTCCTCTGTAATCTGGGTCTCTCCCATTTTCTTGGTTTTACAATCTGTAAACAATTTATATGTGTACTTGAGGGTCTGATCTGTGAGTTCAAGCATACATTGATACTTTACTGTTCTGTTTTTGTGTTTTGTGTTTTTGTGTTGTGAATGATTTTGCAAGTTGGACCTTAATTCTACATATTCTAAGAATTTTATCCTCATGAAACAAATTAAATCATAGAATAAATCCAACAATTTAGAAATGCATTTCCAAGGAGCACATGAATTTCTCTAGTTAATCACTTTAGAATCCCACCTGTTGGCTTGAATCCTGTACTTATTTTTACTGGTCATAAGTACAGACTGAATAGAGTGCAAAACACACCATCGTTGTTATTGTTCTTGGGGGTTGTTTGATCTCAAGTATGCTGTGTGCTACCAGTTTTCTGACCCATTTTTATACAGCTTATTGTTCAGTATTACCTGCCAAAAGAAATTCCGAAACTTGCTAAAAAAGATACTGGATTACAGTATGGTATGCAGATGAGTTAGAATTTGGTTTTAATTGATTAGCTGTTTTACATTATATTTTTTTACATACAGCTGATATGAGCATATGAAAAACACTTGATTGAAGAAATCCCGTATACCATCTCTTACTCACTTGACTATACGTCTTTTTGGGCCTTCTTGTGGGACTACCCCCTATATATATATATATATATATATCTCCCTCCTCTTCCCTTGCCTCTCCACAAATATTCACTCACTCACTCCCTCCCTTCTTTCTCTTTCATTTCTTTCAAACTGATCATATAGCGTAGTGTCTCTCTGTTTCTTCGATGGCGGACACTACTAACTCAGCCTCTACTACTATTAAAATAATGGGTTGTTCGATCCCCGAAAGGCTCCAACTGCACATGTCCATGTTGGCCTTTCAGTTTGGGTATGCCGGTTTTCATGTAGTCTCCAGAGCTGCCCTTAACATGGGCATCAGCAAGATTGTCTATCCCGTCTACCGCAACGTTCTCGCTCTTCTTCTCCTCTTGCCTTTTGCTTATTTTCTTGAAAAGTGCGTTTTTAATCCAACCCATTAATCAAATTAAATTAATTCTCTAGTCCATTATGATTTCTTATTCAAATTAACAAGTATTAATAACAATATGCTCTTTTTGTTCTTTATTTTGAATATATCAGGAAGGAGAGACCACCACTCACTCTTTCTTTACTTGTCCAGTTTTTCCTCCTTGCAGTTATTGGGTATGATCAATGAATTTCTCATGTACACATACTTAGCTATATATATATCTATATTATCAGTGATTCTCTGTTCACCAAATTCACCGTCTCGTGTCCCAATTGTTCTTCTAACTGTGTCATGCAACCAAATATTTGAAATCCTTGGTGTACGATCATGATCATAACAGAAAATCCGATAAATATATGCTCTTATGTGGATATATATATGTAATTCATCTCATGTCAATTGAATTGTTATAATAATTCTAATTGCATTAATTTTATTCTTAATTCTTTTTAATTTATGTTAATTTAGTCAAATTTATAACAAATTTTAAACATTAAGTTGAGGAATATTCATTCTCTTCAAAGTAATTCAACATGAAATGATGAATTCTCTTTTGAATAGATCATTTTACTTTTGATTTTCAGTTTAATTTCTCAATAAATATGATAAATTGGATTAAATGGACATAAAATAAAAATTGAAATACAAAATTTGTAAGGTTTTGAACATATATTGTGACAAATAATGGTAGAAGCAATAAGTAGTTTAAAACTAAAAACTTAAGCACCAGAAATAAACAAATCTTTTTCTGTAGAAAATTGTCAAACATTCGGCATAAGAATTTGTAAACTTAAGAGTTCATTGTTTGGCTTTTGATACTCTTCTATTTGATTTCGTTGTTGTCTTCCTGAAAAGTTCTACTCTTCACCGCCGGCGAATTATACAGTCCATTTTTCATCTGTAAGAGACGGAACAAAATGTCAAAGGTTTTTCTTTCTTCATTTCCTCCTTAAATTAATGTAAACTGATGTTGGTTTATATATTGGTGGAGAGAAGCGAGTTTTCCAAGTATAGTTGCATATATTCTGTCTATAAAAAGCATAGAAGTAGCTTAGCATAGGCCTTTGTGCCCAGCAAGCAAATACATGAGACAAGTAACAACTCAAGATGTGCCAACAACAGTGCTGGTAACCAAGATTGTGTGCTACATGCAATGATGGGTCCAACAGGACTAGAAATCAACTTGGATGGTATCAAAACATTATATATTTGTTATTTTTTTTAATTGACTTGAATCCTTGACCTCTCCTAAAGAGGTGCTCCAACTATCCTCTTAGGGCAGATGTCTTTTCAACTTGGACATTAATTTACTCCCAATTATGACTAGCTCAAATTATGAATATAAAGTGGAAAAGAGTTTGGGAATGGGAATGAAAGTGGGGAAGAGACATGGATAGTTCTTTAAAAACTCCACATGTTCTTTAAAAACTTCACATGTTGAACTGATCTACATTGAAGATCCCAAAAAATGTGGGAATAAGCATGGAGTGTATATTAGTTTTAAAAAATTGTTATTCCTTACCCATTAATTCTCATTTCATAAGCTAAATATGATCCTTTATCCAACTCAATGTACCTAGTAAAAAATGAAAAATGATATCCACACATCATTTTCCAAATAATTGTTTCTTAGTCAAATAAATTATTCTTATATGAAGTGTGATAACTTTGAGAGTTTTTGGAATCTACTAAATTTGGATTAAAAGATGCAGTGTTAAGTTCTGTATTAGGATAGAATTCTTTAATAGCTATCTTATTTAGCTTTAGCTTATACCTTTTCCTGATTTTGCATTCAGCATGCCTAGTTATGGTTAGAATCTTATTCAAAATTGACATAATTATATTGTTTATTGGTGATGAGTGATTGTCAGGTACTCGACAGTCGACCCTTTCTTTCTGTATATGTTTAGAACATAACTACTCCAACTAATATTTGTATAATATTAGTATAGAGAGTTTTCTTATGCACTTCATGCAATTCTTTAATAATATCAATATAGCAACTTGAACTCATTCATCTGCCTTGTTTCATACTTTCATACTACTAAATTGTTTTTGTTTTCTTTGCTTCTGCTTTATTAGTCTCCGATTCTGAGGGACAGTCTCTTATAGGGATAGCCAATCTTAGATATCAAATTTGTATTGCCTTCATTCTTATGCCGAATGTCTAACAAGAAAAAAGTAACCAAAATAGAATTAAATAAAAGAAATGCCAAGCACAAGAAAAAAAAATGAATCTTAAACTTCTTAACTCAAATAATATTCCAATACCTAAGTTGTCTATCAATGATAGAGAGTTGGTTGCAACTATCATTGAATTCTTTTTCATTGAATTTACACGATCTCCATTTATTTATCTAAAATTATCATTGAATCATTTTCAACAAAACAACTAGTGTTTTAATTTACATTGTAACGCCCTCAAAAAATAACCCATTATATATATCATTGACATGCATTATTTAAAGAAGACAATTTATTAATTCATTCATCAGAGTATTACTAAATAAAGCATTACATGTAACATTGAATAAAATGCCTTACAGGCTTACATCTTTCCAAGCCAACACTTGGATACAAAAATATGAGTTCTAACTCAATACAAGAAAAGCCCTAGGCTTGAATGTTTACATGTACTAATAAATAAAGACAATTAACTAAAGGTAGTCTTCTCCAATCCAGAAGCCAAACCCTCCCAAGCTAAGTCCTTGGAGGTAGTTTATCACCTGAACCTGAAAATGATGTTCCCATAAAGGGTGAGCCACAGCCCAGTAGAAATATACAAGATCCTGCGCGGTAACAGCGTACACGCGCCCAGACGACCTCTGATCAACCTGCTCACCCCTAGGAGCATAAGATTGCTGCACTGACTGGGACGATGAAGCCCCCTGATT